ATTTAAAGGCATTCTACACAAGAGGAAAGGTTGTACTAGATTTAGTAAAAAATTATTTAATAAAAAATTACCGCGCTAAAAGAAACTATCTCAGTAACAGCGTTGTCAGCGAGAAGTGGCGTTTCCGTCGCATGAATTCTGAAATGAAACAGCAGCCGACGGTTATGGATTGTTTCGTAAAATCCTTATCACAAGTTTGTTATAAAATACGGCAAGGACGTATACTGATATTCCAAAGAATAGATGCCATCATCTAAAAAACGAAAAGGAAACGTTAACTGAGACACTTAGTACTTACATTGATTTTCTTCCTTTTTTGAAACTTATCCAAAGGATTAATGGCTTTGAAATCCTGTTCAAATACACCTTATATCCTCAAGGTGCCTTTTGTTGCGGGAGAACTGAAGACATTGGGCTGATAAAGAACCTTTATTTTAAATATTATCAAATCACTGTGTTTTTGGATGTAATTGTTTTATTGAACTCTTGGACGTGTTTGTTTATATCACTATTTTTGGACATTTTGGTGCTCTCTTTGTCTTTGGTTTGTTATTTGGGAGTTCTTGCTCCCGGAACCTACAAACTTGAAGGTTTGTTTTGTAATTGTTATAATTATTGTTTGTTAAAAGGACTTTGGTCGATTATTTGTGAATTGCGAATAAACGTGGTACCTAATTTGGAGTTTTGGTTATTTTTGCCTACTTGGGTTCGTGATTTGCGAACATCGACGGCCAGTACTTCAATAACTGTAACGAGCAAAAAACTCGTTCTTGGACGTGACACCTTTGAGTTGCGATATCGTAAGTTTTTGAGAGATCTCTCTCACCAACTTCGGATTATAACTGTTTCAAACGTTAGGGCATCCACTTAACAAGAGAATCTCAGATGTATCCTTATTTATTATACTTTTTTAAAATCAAAAATTCAGAAGAGTCTGTTTTGTGTCTGTTCCCGTCAACGTGAAGTCTATGGCTGAGTTAAGTTTCACCAAGTACGACAAAATAGATTTGAATAATGTTTTCGGCTGACTATCCATCAACCTAGACTTCATATATATAATAAAATATTGTAAACTGACCCGGTTTACTTAAAAATCACCTTCTTACTGAAGATACGCATCTAAGCTCATAATTCTTAAACCGAAAAGAAACCAAAAGCTAGATAATCTTCCACCAAGTCCTTTTGACTGATAATCTAACGTATGTTTAAAAATAATGCCATTTGTCTCATGTTGGTAGACGATTAGACAGCGTCTGTCGACGGTGTTGTCTCATTAAAATCAACCTCTGACAATCTGCAATACCGAGGACAATTCCGAACTAAATTTACTTATCTCAGAACTCACTGTTTCTGGGAGACGAAATGATGGTTCCTGGTGATGATTCTACTTCGGTCAAGCATATTTTTAGACATTTGTAGAAATAACAGACTTATTTGGCGATTGAAGAGACTGGAGTTTCTCACAGCGTAAATCTGGGAGGTCCCATTAACCTATATGGAGCTTGCATTTTTGTGAAATCAAGGTCGATGAAAACATGCGAGCATTCTAAACTTTGTGAATCACTTCTCTGAAAAAATCAAAAGTGATAGCTCACTTTCCGTTAAGGTTTATGTTTATATGATGACAAGTGGTTTTAGTCCTGTTAGTTAAAACATCCTAATAAATTAATCAACAAGTGAACCGAACCCGAAGCATGACTAAATTCGTTTGCAGAAAAATGAATGATTTATTTGTGACCAACAAAAGTAGTGTGAAACCGTACATTTGAAAGTCGACCGGTTGACATCTTGATCCATTTAGTTTCTTAACGTGGTGTCTACTAAGCACTCTAGACGCACACATAGTTTGTTACTGATAAACGACATGGCAGCCGAGACCGAAACCGCTTACACGACAAAGGCTTTGATAAACACAGACGTTTTGAATGTGTACTCGAAGAAATTTAAAAGGAAGATATTAGTAACTCAGTGAAAAACGCAAGGTTGTAAATTCTACCTACAATAAAGCATTTAGTAGAAGCACTATGACTTCATGACTAATGATCTTGACAATTGAGATAGTTATTTGAGGTAGTCAACAAGAATTCCTGAACCTAGGTGTCGTGCTGTTTGGCACTCGCCAACAAGGTTTACCCGTATTCTTAATGGAACCGAAGCTCCCTGGCGGATTCACGGTCAGGATGTCACCACTGGGTAATCCTCGACTGACCTCCTGACTGACACGCATTCACAACTGATTGATCACTGTGCAGATCAAATGCTATTCACCAAGTTGCATTGTGGCCACTAGTCTAGGTGACTCGACAGTTTGTGCACTGTGTTGCGATAAGATGGTGATTGGAGGTAGTGAACAGGAGACCCTGGACCCGAGTTTCGTGTTACTTAGACTATTTGGACTAGTGACCACAATGCAACTTGATGAATAGCATTCGATCTGCACTAAGAAAGCCTGACACAAATGACCTCATCAGTACTCAGTGACCAATTAGTTGTGAATGTTAACAACTATGCACTAAATTTATGCCCCGCCAACGGCTACCCACAAAACTCTTAGCTAACTACTGAGCACACAAATATGTCCATGGCACTGGAAAGCAATGGTTACATTGAAAGTTTGATGGCACCAACTGAAGAAAAAGACATACCGTTTTTGCTTATTTAACTAATCAGTACGAGAATACCGTCGACGATTACTACATTATCTGGTTGAAGCGACGTTAACCTAGTATCCCCTCAAACAATAACCTGTTTCGTTTAATCGTAATCATAATGTTGTTATAATAATTCATGTTTCGTTGCTATCAACAGCGTCACTGTCCTGCAGCTGACCAAAGGACAATATTTACTCTGTATGATGCTAAACAGATAACTTGACTGTAGAGTACTTGCAGTACGCTCTCCTTCCAATCCTCCGCATGCAAAACTAAAAAGGAAGTGCTAAAGCACTCATGGAGGCTGAAAGTGCAGGCAACGTGCTTCGGTGAATGAACGTTACAAACTTGTTAAACCTTAACGCAATTTCATTCATATATTCGGAGAAAATTATTCAACTCTTACATAACAGATTCAACTGAAATACGTATTCAATTACTCTAGTGTAAATTTACCGACTATTCAGCTACAAAAATCATCACTTGGTGAAAAACTTTGCAATCCGCTGGCGAACATTAACGAACTCAACGCTAAAATTCAGCATGAACGCCTCACTCATGAGACACATAAACTTGGCCCGTATCTAGTAAGGATTATGAGCACTTCATGACAACTCTTGCAGACTGTTGTAATAACGTGGTGAACACAATATCTACAGCTGGGCTATTGCTCACAAAAGTATATAAGTCTCGATTAGTTGATCTTCTGGAGAAGCAGAATTTATTATTGTCTCCCAGATAATTGTGCAGAAATTATCATTATGGATCGTCATGAAAATGCTACCGAATTATCTTCAGCATTATCGGATGCTTCTAAATTCTCTAGTGAAACCATCCAAAAGGATGTAAGTGGAAAAATGGACCAGATATTATTTGAAATTCCAAAGAGGATGAAAGATGAGTTTATTTGTCAACTGCGACCTCTATGAACATTCCAGACCATCGGATTCCTCAGTTACGACACTATACAGGCTGCCGAAATTTCATAAGAACAATGTCCTCATACGTTCCATATTTGAGATGAATAGCTCTTCGTATTATTTGATTGTTTAATGGTGAGCTGATATTGTAAGACCCGTCAGAAAGCACATCAATAGTTACAACTCTCATGATTTGTTTGATTTTTTCGACTCAGAAATATCGGTGTAAATGGTAGATAAATGAACTCAGTGGACGTCTATTCTCTATTTATAAATGTTCCATGCACAGAATCTATGAGCATTTGTGTGACAATATTGAAATAAAAACTTTAGTATGTGTATATCAAAACGTAATCTAAAAGGGCGACTCCTAAGAAGTACCCTCAATAGGCAATTCAGATTTAATATTGATATTTTCAGACAAAATGATGATGTTGCAATGAGTTCACCATTGGTCCCACTTTTGACTGAATGTTTCAAGAGCAATGTGGAAAATAAGGTGCTTAAACCAATAATTGAGAGAAGTAATTCACATAAGAATATATGTATGATAATCTCATTATTTGTGGAGAAGATATGAACGTGAATGAAGTTTTGAATCGAATCAATAAATGTCACCACTCAATTCAATACGCATTTTCAGCTGAGGTGAACGAGGATTTGGATTATCTTGACGTCAAGTTGAAAAAAGTTCAGACGGTTCCTTGAAGAGATCTATATTTAAAAAACTAACCAGGAATGGTCAGCATACAAACTTGCGTAGTAGAAAGAGAGTATAAGGAGGAACCTATTCAACCTTTTCCTCAAAAATTGTGCTAATAAGTCCTGATGACACAATAGGTAACGAACTGCTTCAAATTCGAGAGATACTTATCAGAAATGATTATCAACATAGGTTTATTGATAGCAACTTAACTCTAATACAACATTCTATATTACTAGATTGAGTAGTTACACGACTAAATTGTTAGGTGATGAATGTGCATTTGAAACATTCAAGTCGATAAAATTTCCTGTGGATTTAACTATTAATCACCCTAATAACATAATTCTTGAACGTGACCTCACATATGCAAATAGCTTGATTGCAACTCAAAATCACTCCCGGAAATTCTAAAACTCATTTTAACCACAAAGATTATCAGAGAGTGTCTTGAGAAATAACAAATCGGCAACGACAGAAAAATTCGCATTCACTAAAACAATGTGTTAAAGCACAGTTGTGACAATTGAACAAATAAAATGGATTATTGAAGAGTAAGCAAATGGTTGCATAGTAATGTGCTTGGTAATCGAGTGCATCAAACCAGGGTCACAATATGTCTTACAGTATTCTCAACATTTTACTTGCTTCTAAGTGCAACATATCAACATTAAAACGACTCAAAGAAGAAGAAAGAGGAGAGTAATAGAAGACTTGCTAAATCAGTTATCGTGAGGATTTCCAAACAAAATTAACCAAATAATTCACAATGATTATCATCATCATTTTGAAACGTGACTTCGACAACTTTCGACCATCATCTAGACTAAATAAAATCATGCATGTAATTTATTAGAATCATGCAAACGAATCACAGTTATAAAGTGTAATCAATAACGTGTAATCAATAACGAATGTGTTAAATTATTACTCGTTTCAACGTATATAATCAAAATTAAACGTGTTCATGAACTGAGTAAAACTAAAGTAAAATACATTGTAGATTATCCATATTCAATGTGTAATAGTCAAGATTTTCATTGGATTGCATTCTAGAATTATCCTTGAATGTATTGACAATTCAGTTGATGTCTTTCACTGATTATTCGATACTAATGGACGGACGTTCGGATTGTGGCTTATAACGAATTCAGGATGCGATTTCCATCGCATTTAGGACTGATCATCTGGATGTATCTCTAATCCACTGTTGATGTTCACACTGAGACGTCAATCGTATACAATGATCGCCACAAATACGATCAACTTATGTTTAACAGAGATGCATTCATATATAAAGACATCAAATGAAGTGTATCCTTTTTACATTGTTCCTCCATACACATGAATCAATCAAGATCATTAGTGAATTCATTTTCCTTTCAATATATCACCGATAATTACACGAAAGTATTTAGTCTATGAAATAGATTTAATTGACTCACGATTCACACTTTTGTGTTTCGACGAATAACTTTATTGACAATATTTGTTAGAAGACGATGTTTCACTGAAATGTTTGCAAACAAACACTGAGTAATTCATTGTAAGCTGAATAAATGATGTGATTTAAGTAACTAATTTTGAAAGGCAAATTTGGTACATTCCCGTGTAATGTGTGACTTGCATATAATTGAGTAGTACAGTCACTCCGTCTAGAACCCCTCCGAGGCTACTGTCGATTCCAATTGTCGCGATTTGTGTACGTTATTCGGTGAATAAATGCACCATATGTTAATTACAATGAAACGTTTACAAAACAACTACGTTTATTAAGTGTACTATTCAATAAGTCATATTTATCCTCCCAAATAAAATTTTGTTGATTATAACTTACATAAATTTTATTGTAATTAATTACAATTTTGTATTTCTTTTCAACCAATCTAAATAAGCGGGAAATTTCTGGAAAATGACAAGTGATAATCATTGCATTATGGAGATTTATCAAAGGGATTAATTGTTTTAATTCTTTTTTCTTTCAATTACTCAAGATTGGTTTGTTATCAAAGTGATGTTATATAATGATTAAGTAAATCAACTAATTGATGGGTATTAGTTCATTCTTGTACATTATGCATTGACATTAGTGTAGAGTCATGGTGAAAAACTAACTGACAAGAGATCCCTTCATTCGCTCTTTTTGCTAAGTCTGTCATCTATTCACAAGTCTAATAACTGATAACAAATGAAAATACTTTCGACTGTCACAAACTGTAAAAGCATTTATCGGTGAGACTCATTAACAGATTGATGAGTCTACCATTTTCAGAATTATTGGTTTTCTTCCTTTCGAGAATTTGTGGGCACAAAAAGAAGGTATACAGTTTGAATGGAATTGTAAGTGGTTTCATGTGTACATTATGGTAGAAATCCGGGATATAAAATGTGTATCATAACCCAAAGTGTGATTCACTTCAGCTTACCTCTGTAATTTGTCAATGTGGATGTTAAACATGTTACAGTTGGTAACGCTATGTAAATAGAAAAGTTTAAATTACATTTCAATATTTTACACGCTTCTCAAACATTTCTTTGATAAACGAGATGATCATCAGACGAAAGCAGTTGCATTCAACTACCTTTCATGTGAATGAAAATATATGTGTTTTAAAATGAGTACAGGATCAAAGCGTACTGAAAAGAAGGTCCGATCAGTTTCATAAAACCTCATATCATTCAAAATGAAACAGTTATCATCTAAGCATTCAGTGGTGTAAAATATTCATGTTCATAAGGAACTGATAAATTAGCAATAGATTCAGACTTTCCAAACACACACTGATTTCATGCCTCCCAGTAAACATTAATCCTTAAAGGAATAACTTTGATTTCAACATTATCTTCCGGTTGTTTGAGATAAAGATTCTTCTCAGCGCAATTATCTGTTAGTTCGTATATCTCATGCACAAATGTGCTGCCTTCTTCAATACTCTAATACTATCAACTGATTATATTTACAAAATAACATTGATTTGAGTGCAACTGTCGAATTAAATTTGCAGGTTGATAATCGGGACCACATTCTTTTCCATCACGCTGGAAAACTATCAAGATATCATTTAGAATATGTTGACTGTTGAGCAGTCGCACTACACAAATTGCACAGAGATTGTCTGTCTTTTGATCCGTTATCATACTTTAAGTAGTGGAACTACCAAAGATTGAAAGTGGTAGACTCAGATGTTACTCAGAATACTAGAACCAGAATATGTTATCAGTACTCATGAAATTATATGTTCGTAGTTTCAAAATTAAGTATTGGATTTACGCCACGAGTTCATCGGAATTTCAGTACAATATGTGTATTGATGTAAATAAACAATCCGCTCGTGTGCAATTCTCATGATGAATTTGAAAGTGGTGAGGAGCGAGTTTGTTTCATGACCTTTGATTTATGTAGATTAAGACTTAGTTACTCAACTAACAGAAACAATGAACATCTGGGACTCACATGAAGCTTTTAGGAATAAAATGCGAGAAATGAGAATCATTAGTTTTCTTAAATGTCGTCAGCAATATAGACAAAAACAACCAATTTTAAAACAAATGTACAATTACATTACAAGGATTAACTAAACAGTTATGAATAGCAACTCTTACCTTTATAATTGGTCATTTCTGTGTTGAGGCACGTTTGTAGAATGGAAGATTCGGACACCCTTATATCTACATATACAGCAACCAATTAATAAATAGATTTCAAATAAAGTCAGGTACAAAGTTACACAGATATCATTCTCTATGAAAACCATATTCTCTATCGTGATATATCAGACTGAAAGTAGATTCCATTCACCATTATAAGTTTATACAGAGTTTGAATATGGAATAAATAAACTGAAATATATAACAAAATTGGATCAAATAATTGTCTTCAATAATAAAAATTATTCAAGTAATTCAAATACATACCAAATGAATTTATGCCAGTTATTATGCGCTGAAACTCTAAAATATTTCAAGGGAAATCAACACCACAATTTTATATGTTATAAACCAATATGAAATTCTACATTCTGTATATGTTTAGAATATTGATTGTAACTAGTAACCAGTGAATCCGTTTTGTCAACTTCCAAAATTGCTACAATAGATTTTCATCTACTTTTGCAGTTTATCAAACAGTAGAATCCGGGATACGTAAACGGACCCATTTGAGACTCGTCAACTGGATGTTCCTTTGTTTCAATTCCGACGTTGACACTTACACTCTAACTACATATTTGTTGCCAGATTTAGTAGACAGATAACTGGTAATTAATAGAAATAAAAATAATTGACATCTGACCTCATACATTATTACCGTTCAACCATCAAATGATAACGAACAGTGCTCTTTGGTAATGTATATACATCTCTACTGTATAATAATTCACATAAGTAATTTGTTGAAGTCGTTGTGAAATTTCAGTTTCGTCTCCATCAAACATTAGGTGGACCCAACAAAAGTCTCTCATTTTATAAATTTTAGTAAGCTGAGTAAAACAATCATTCTGGAACAACAGGAATTTATTCATTTCACATAGTCTACACATCTGTTCACAATTTCAAACAGTTGTACTGATTAGTCGATATGTGAATATGTATGATTCATATCACATTTACGTAATAGGAAGTTTGGGATGACAGAGAGGAAGGTCAATAAACGTGATCCAATATGGAAGTGCTCTATGTGTTGTTAATGTAGTGGGTAATTCATGTGATGAATGTTTATTCTAACATATAAAGTGTTGAAAACTGACGGAGACAAGTGTTGTTTAGGAATGAAAATTTAGCATTATTGATTAAGTGATTTCTTCTGTTAGAATTTTGACTTGAGGAGAAAGTGAGTTGATCGTTATACCGTAGCTGCTACCTTGACACAATGGTCGGGCTTGCTTGTCGTGATGACCCAACCGAGCTATATTGGCTGGAACATATGTTCCTGTAGGTCCTACCATGCCAGACAGGTCGATTGGAGAACGGTAAGACTAAAAGCAGTAACTCAAGGTCTGAGGGCGAAGTCGTACTGCTGACTATAGAGAGGTGTGACAGCAGAAAGGTGTTTCCTTTAGACAACCAGCTTCTGCAGCGATGCTGCCTTCTCACAAGGAGGAAGGGGTTAGAAAAGGTTGACCCTAAAAATGTCACACCTCACCTTACCCCACGGATTTGCGTCTCCGGCGGTAGGGCCCTTTGAAGAACGGAGCTAACACATTAAAAACCTTCCACGAAAAGGCCGTGCGCGACCGGCCTCAAGCAGTTGTCACTTGGGCTCTGCAGTCACGCTCCCAGGCCGTTAAGGTCAACACTAATCCGATTTCCTTTCCAGGTTCCTCAAGCAATACCCTTCCACGGTGTGGGCAGCCGGAAAGTGACATCAGCCCTCATACCCTTAACAGCACACGAAACCTGGTTGGTCACATTCAAATCCTTCCTACACCTCCTAATACCGCTCTTATCTCTACGACTAATCCTTCTCACATCCCTTTATGACCTCCACTGCTATGGCAAACGATTTGGGTACGCGTAACGTTATTCCTGGTCTCCTGAAACCACGCTCTAAACTACACGTATTAGCTTTCAACGTCCGAACACTGTGACAAATAGGACAACAGGCTTCCTTATCTAGGACTTTAGAATCTCGCGCCATCGATGTGTGCTGCGTCTCCGAAACGCGCAAACAGGTTCCAAGTGGCGTCATTCACTTGACCTCACCATATCAAAGCAACGAACCGACTCGATTTACGCTTCGTGTATCTGGAAGTACCGATGCTGCTTTCCGTGGCCTCGCCAGCGTAGGTACAGCATTGAGTCCTAGGGCATAACTGGCTCTCTTAGACTGGATCCCAGTAGACAGTATAAACTAAATGTGCACATGTGTGACTCATAGAACGTAAATCCATAATTTTATCAAATGTAAAACAAGATATTTGAAAATATCTTCACACACCTGTTTAAGTTTATACTCTGAATCGCTTTTCATTAATAATTTCAAGCAGTTCACATCTAAAATTCACCAACGTCATTGAAATACTAATATTTCGTACACATACATTCAGTGATTGTTCTACGATCCACTGGGGAGTGCTTGATAACGGCAGCTAAAATATAATGTAAACAGTAAATATATAATTATCTATAGAGACGGTGGTCGGGTGAAAATGAAGGAAGCTCTAAGATGTCCAGAGAGCGCCAAAGACATTCCATCCAATCATCTTTTGGAAGACCAGTTCACAGTCTAGATATCTAGCTTCCTTAAACACCACTGTGTGCAGATTGGAAGACTGTAACAATCATTCGTTTTTTACTTGAAACTATGAATGCCTGAGAGTTTTGTACCATATTTGAAAATGTAAGTATTATTACCAAGGTCTGACTTGATAGTAAACTGGGCGGGTTTTGTGGAGAGTTTTAGAAATTTCACAAGTTGAAATCATGAGTCAGTTGAAGCCAGACCACCATTGGATGTCGGCTCAGTGGTCTAGTGGTTAAGTGCTCGCGCGCGAAGCCAGTAGGTCCTGGGTTCGAGCACCGCGTGGTGCGGGATCGTGGATGCGCACTGCTGAGGAGTCCCACACCAGACGAAACGGCCGTCCAGTGCTTCCAGGTTTTCAATGGTGGTCTAGCTTCAACTGACTCATAATATCAACTTGTGAAATAAACTGAGCATTAGGAAGATTGTTATAAATAAACAAAAAAATATATTTGTAGAATCCCATTCAGTGAAAAATTATATTTTCTGACGTTTCATGACTCCTTGTAGGGCTCCCAGTCAGAGAGTAACATTTCTTAGCACTCATCTTCTGCTTTCTAGCTTGTGACTCCGAAGGTCCCAGAGCTCGAGCTCTCAAGGGGTACGTTTAATAGCAAGAATCTACGCTCTCGATATAAATTATAACTTTGCATCACCGAGATTTTGGTACAAATTGTTTTATATAATAATTTATCAAATAACAATAACAATGATATGTTAACACGTCTATAATTGACTAATGTCAGATATAAATAGACAAAATGAAATCAACCCTACATATCGTTGAATATCGCATGGCTAATTTAACATGTTCTGACTGTTTCACATTTATTAATTTGAAAGAGGTAAGTTGATTTATTCACTGAACATGTGTCCAGGTAGTCGTCGCAACCTACCATTAGAATTTCACTGTTCATCTTAATCACTAGTGCATTCCACATATTGTGATGAGTACAATCAACAAACAACTACAATACAATGTTTATCGAAATCAGCTTATAATATGAAATATCTATTCTGAGAAATGCAACATGTTATTAACATGAATGAATTCGCGAATAAATTACTTGTTAGCATCTCTTTATTTGATTGTTAATTCTGAAAAGACCCAATTCACCTTTCTTCAAACTATCTAACAATTGAACACAAGATACAGTTGAAATAGACAGCGATTACTCAAATGAAAAATGTGCAAGTTCAAACAGGTGAATGTACATACATAATGTCTATCAAGAGATTCAAACATGGTTAAAAGTAAAATGCGAAATAATAAAAACCCAACGCTGTTGCACAAATGCAAAGATCATACGATCCAAACAAACTATCGACCCACTATCTACCTAGACATCTATCTAACTACTTAACTAATTATCTATCTATCTAACTATCAATCAATCAATCAATCAATCAATCAATCTATCTATCTATCTATCTATCTATCTATCTATCTTCTTCTTTCTTCTTTCTTTCTTTCTTCTTTCTTTCTGTCTATCTTTCTGTTCATCTATCTTTTCCTTATCACATTGTGCACTGCTGACTAGTGTGTGGGATTGTTGGGAGAACGTTAGAAGTGGTCAAACCAAAACGTGGCATCAGTGCTTTAAGTCACCAACTTCTGGTCATAGCCACGTTGGTAGATTCAAACTGCTGGTTGGTATCCGTGCGACTATCGTGACCAATGTTTGGAGACTTCGGTGACATGGCTCAGAATCGATCACAGTGGCGTCGGCGAATACACTCTTTGCCTTTCCTTAAACTTAAGAGCATTCCATGGGCATAAATTAATGGTTGCTCTGGATGTCGAGTGGGGCATCAGTCACGTCTCTGGTAAGCGTGTTTTTGGCGAGATAGTTTTCTACGAGATGGGATCGTTAACCCCATGTCGAACCATGCTTGTTTATCCGTTCTTGGAACCGGCAGTAGCCTCCGAGGGCTCCAGTAGAAATTCTTGCCTCCTACCAACCAATTATTTCTTCCTGTACTATATCCGTATACACAATCTAGCTATTATACATTACTACCATTGAAGTAAATAATTCTAAGAGTTTGGTGTTCATCATGTTGTGTTAAGGAAGTGTGGCAACGTGGAAGAAGCAAATATGTGCCTGGTTCTGCGTTGTAGCAGACTGACTACCCGATATAAATATACTACCGACGGGCGAAAATAGTCAAAATGAAATCAACCCTACATATCGTTGAATATCGCATGGCTAATTTAACATGTTCTGACTGTTTCACATTTATTAATTTGAAAGAGGTAAGTTGATTTATTCACTGAACATGTGTCCAGGTAGTCGTCGCAACCTACCATTAGAATTTCACTGTTCATCTTAATCACTAGTGCATTCCACATATTGTGATGAGTACAATCAACAAACAACTACAATACAATGTTTATCGAAATCAGCTTATAAGTATAAAATATCTATTC